CGTTACTTCTTGGTTTCCAACACTCCTAGATCACCAAAAATTCATCCTAGCTCCAAAAAAATCTCTGAAAAATACTACAAATTCATAAACACTCATAAACACATGTAATTTTCTTTAATCACATCCAAAAATATTTTCTCTAAAATTTTACAAATAGTTTCTAATCACCATAAAATTTCTAGGGTCTCACAGTTGGGTAATACAAAGGTCGTTTAACAACCTCGTGAAGGTAACATTGTGGCTCATGCTATGGCTTTATTTGTACTGAGGGAAGGTAATCAATTTTTTTGGGAAGGGGTGGGTCCGATATGGATTCAACCTTTACTAGGAAAAGATAGACAATTGGGTTAGTTGTATTATATATTGCGGTGCTGTAGTACTCTTTTTTCTTGACCGGATTTTCTCTATTGGGAGTTTTTATGACAAGGTTTTAATGAAGCGACTTTGTAGCCCCTAGAGAAGTTAGGAAAAATATTTTCTCCAAAATTTTACAAATAGTTTCTAATCACCATAAAATTTCTAGGGACTCACAGTTGGGTAATACAAAGGTGGTTTAACAACCTCGTGAAGGTAACAGTGTGGCTCATGCTATGGCTTTATTTCTACTGAGGGAAGGTAATCAATTTTTTTGGGAAGGGGTGGGTCCGATATGGATTCAACCTTTACTAGGAAAAGATAGACAATTGGGTTAGTTGTATTATATATTGCGGTGCTGTAGTACTCTTTTTTCTTGACCGGATTTTCTCTATTGGGAGTTTTTATGACAAGGTTTTAATGAAGCGACTTTGTAGCCCCTAGAGAAGTTAGAAGCTTCGGATTTATTGATGTTTATTGATTCTATATGAATGAAAGTTGATAGAGAATAGTAAAACATTCAAAATACCAGAAAATGCCTTTGGTTAATGCAAATATTAAGAATGCAATATAAAGACAAAATCTAATCGGGTGCCTCAGTATCTTAGGTGGATTAAACCACTTGTTGGACAATTGGTTTTGCATTGTGATGGTCCAATTAAGAGGAATAGGAGGCGAAGAGGTGGGCGATTTGGTTCTTGATTGCCATGGTGAGTTTTATTGCGGTTTTACGGCTGTTGGCTCATATGGTTCCCACATTTTGGGAATTGAGTTGGCGGCTATTTGTAGCGGGCTACTTTTGGCAACTGCAAAAGGTATGGTTTATTTAACTGTCTCTTCTAATTCACAAGAAGTTGTGAATATGATTAATGGCATTGATGGGTGGTTGAGTAATGTGGGTAATCTAGTTAATGATATTCGAATGTTGCTAGTGCAGTTGGGTAATGCAAAGGTGGTTTATCAGCCTCGTGAAGGTAATAGTATGGCTCATGCTAAGGCTCAATTTAGAATGAGGGAAAGCAATCAATTTTTCTAGGAAGGGGTGGGTCTAATATGGATTCAGCCTTTACTAGGAAAAGATAGACAAGGGGATTAGTTTTATTATGTATTGCAGTGATGTGCTACTCTTTTTCCTTGAACAGATTTCCCTCAATTGGGGGTTTTTATGGCAAAGATTTAATGAGGCCACTTTGTAGCACCTAGAGAAGCTATGAGCTCTAGTTGCATTGTTGTTGCTTCTATATGAATGAAAGTTCTTATTTTGTCGAGTTAAATAAAAAATAAAAAATAAAAAGAAAGCCCAAAACTAAAAGCCCCTTCTGCTTCTCTCTCTCTTCTCTCCTCTCCTCTCTTCTGCTGCTTCAGGCAATTGAACTCAGTCCAAATTACTCACCAATTTAATGCCCCAAATTCAAACCCTAATCTCCATCGCATTGGCAAGTGCAAAATCCTAACTCCACCAATCATCAGCAGCAATGGAGCAGCTGAAGACCATCGGGCGAGAGCTTGCGATGGGCTCTCAAGATGGCTTCGGCCAATTCAAGGAGTTCCTGGACCTCGTCACGTCCATCGGCGAAGCTCGATCCAAGGCCGAAGAAGAGCGCATCTTCCTTCTCGAGATCGAAACCCTAAAACGATGTCTCTCCGAGCCCGAAATCCCCAAGTGCAAGATGAAGGAGTACATCATCCGCCTCATCTACGTCGAAATGCTCGGCAACGACGGCTCCTTCGCCTACATCCACGCCGTCAAGATGACCCATGACGACAATCTCTTGCTCTAATGCACCGGTTACCTCGCCGTTTCGCTCTTCCTCAGCGACGATCACGATTTGATCATCTTGATCGTCAACACCATCCAGAAGGATCTCAAGTCGGACAATTACCTTGTCGCTTGCGCTGCTCTCAATGCCGTTTGCAAGCTCATCAACGACGAGACTGTGCCTGCCGTTTTGCCCCAGGTCGTGGACCTGCTTGCCCATCCCAAGGAGGCTGTCAGGAAGAAGGCCATCATGGCGCTTCACCGCTTTTATCAGAATAGCCGTCTTCGGTTTCGCATCTGGTCTCGAATTTCCAGAAGCGGCTTTGTGATAACGATCGGG